CAATTTAATATAAGTTGACCCCGTAAATAGACGTGAAATTGATCTATGTAACTCACACCTAAAAAAAGTTGGTCAATTGATTTATCCATTGAGTAATAATCAACAAGGTGATTACTCAATAATCAAAGTATAATATATATGATTACTAATATGATCAGAGTAATTATGTAGACCTAGGGCCTTGATGGGTTCATGATTTTGATTTCAACCTAAAAAAGTGTATATAATATGGTCCAGCAATCTGAAAAAGGGCAAAATGTGAGTTGAAATGAGTAGGGCACATCAATGTTTTTAGGTTATTGTGCTTGTAGGGTATACATTTTGGACCTTGATATATAATATATAGTTTAAATTGTCATAAATGTGGACCATTCCTTTTAGTATATTTTTTTTTTGGCTTAGAAGCAACATTATGTATTTCTTTTCTCTTCACTTTCTTAGTTTCCAAGAAAAACAATGAATAATAATGTGGATAAGATAGATGATTGGAATTAGTGGCAGAGTCAGAATTCTTATCATAAAAAAATATTAAATAGAAAATACATTTTAAAAAAGAAGTTAAAAGAGATTCTAACATATTCATTTTTATTGATGTGTTTCCTATCAATTGTTTTTACTTAGTTTGTGAGGTCAAAATAATATTTTAAAAAAAGTTTTTCTTAATGAATTAACTTATGTAACATAATTTAATTATTTGATAGTACAACAATTTTTGTTAACAAGTGACTCCTCTTTTTGGTGATTCTTCTATTAATTATATTAATTAAGATCAATTTAAGAAACATAAGTTGAAAAAGTATTAAAACTAGCTCTTATAGTGTTATTATTATTGGATAAGTTGAAAAGTGATGTACACATACCATATTAAATTTTACTACTACTTTGTACAATGCTATTGAATTTATTAAATTGACAACTACCTAATTTTTCCGAATTTCCACTCTTATATTGATGAGCATCTTACTTTTTTGGTTTTGTAGTACAAATGGTTTTCAAATATAATAATTTTGGCATGTAGTTTGTTAGTACAAAATTAAATTCCAACTCCAACTATTTTCAAAACAATATATATATATATATTGCCAAATAATATAATAAAATGAGAGTTGTCAGACTTCACTTATGAGATCACATTGAATAGAATATTGTTCTTGTAGTTTTGCTTCATTTAAATGTGTGAATTAAACTATTTATTTTCTTTTCTCATCATTTACGAGTCTACTATCAAATGAATGATCACTATAAATCAAGAATTCACTTTATTCATTATCAATTGAATTACTATTAATTTGTGATTCAATTCGATTTTTGCTCAGATTTTCTCTTCTTTTTTTTTACTAATAAATAAATCTCTTTACTTTTTCGCAAAAAAAAAGAGAGGTTAAAAACACACGCACACACAAATAAATTATATCAATACTCTTGTATGATTAGTTTGCTACATGATTATGTATCATCAATATTAATATAGCTCAAGTACTCTGTGCGATTGTGGGATAATAAGTCTCTTTTATCTTTTAATCAGAGAATTTGACTTTGAGTTTCGAATTTGAAAAAAAAAATCTATTAAGGTGCAACTTTTTTTTAAATGAACTTTATACAATGAGATCCAAATTATCGAGGCCTTCATGTAGGTATCAAATATAATAAGGTATGATACACCAAGCATAGATGCATAATTGCGTATTTTGATATAAGAATTAATGACTGATTCAATGACTTAAAATGTTCGTTACTGATTTTATTAAAGATTAGTTGACATAACTATTTTCATATATCCCTAAACATATGGTAACTTGCTTAGGCTACTAGTAGCCTACTGCTACTAGCAACTAATTAAATTAATCAATTAAATAAGAAGCTATGGACCAAATCTACTTTAGAAGTTTCCTTAATCTCTAAGTGAATACATGAAAGAGACATGTCTTCAACTAAGATAACAATATATTTATTAAATTTAAAGTTTAGTTACGTCACGTATATTACCTAATTCCAGTTGTTTATTGTATTTGTTAGGCACTAGATTAAAAATGACGGTAGATTGATAAGTATTTCTATATATATTTTCAATCAGAAGATTTGAATTAAAGTTTTAGATATAACATCGCTTATTATATGAATATGCAGAATGCTTTACCTTCTAAAATAAAATATTTTTATACAAATTTAGATAAGTTGAGCTCCAAAACAGGTACTAAATTAAAAATCAAGGAGGAAATTAGAAAAAATTGTACATAGTTGTTAGGCATCAAATTAAAGTTGTGATGGATTAATAAGTACTTTTTTTAAAATTCTTGATTAGATATTTTGAGTTTAAATTTTAGGGGTAAAGTCGCTTATGATAAAGTGTTTTGCCTCTCAGAATGAAACTTTCCAATTCGAATTTAAATTAATTGAACCTTAAAATTAAATGAATAAGAAGTCAAAGAAAATTGTATTTGTTAGGCACCATAATTAGTTGTGCTTGACGATAATCTAATGCACCAATGGACAATTAACTATGATGATAATCCAATGCACAAGTGCGTAATTTTATTAATTTTATTAAAGGATAATGCATATCCTTGTTCCAATAATTAATCATTATATTTCCCACTATAATCATTCAATTTTTTCATAATAAGATATGAGAAACTAATTTTTACCCTCTATTTTATGTGTTATATATTAATCTAATATTAGAGATAGCAGTAATTCGAATTTACGCATTATAAAATTTATTAAAGATATTTAAAAAAACATTTGGTATCAAAAGTTTGTTTTATAAAATTTAAATGTAAAATCTCTAATTAAGGAAAAAGTTTTATTTATCTCAGCGTATTCATAGGGACACCTCTTTCTCCATTTTTTTGTGTGTGCCCGCTTGTATCTGTATTTTTAACTATTTCATATTTAGAATTACTTTTTTATGTTGTGTAAAGCTCGTTAAAGAACAAACACTATCAATATGGATTGTGGTGCAATGATAGAATTGTTTCACCCTTAATCAGAGTTCTCGTTTGAAACGTGAGAAACACACACTATATATATATACACATTAATTTTACGTTGAACAATAATGCTATTGAATTTATTATCAAATTAATGTCTGCCTAATTTTTCTCTACTTTCACTCTTATATTTATGAGCATTTTACTTTTCTTGTTGTACATGTATCTATACACCTCTTTTCTCATGTAGTAATTGAGCAATATTGAAGCATTGGCAGATTCAGCTAGTAACATATGAATTGACGACAATTTAATAATAAATCTTGTATATATAAGAAAATATTTAGTAAACGTAGATAATATTTGATTAACAACTCAGTTATTATAAAAGATTGATCTTACTTTTTTAAAGGCATAATATATTAATGCACCTTTTAACTTGACTTCAGTTGATATATATGTCCTTCAATTTTGGGTGTGCACAAGGTGGGTACTTAAACGTGTGTAGAATTAAACGAGTAGACACATATATCCTACGTGACATAATATATATAGGACGTCACGTAAGACGTGAAATTGCCATGTAGGACGTCACGTAAGACACACATGTCTATTTGTGTAACTTTATACGACTTTAAATGCTTACTTATGTACAGTCAAAGTTGAAAGGCATAGTTATCAACTAAGACCAAGTTAAAATACATATTTATATATTATGTATTATTCAAATGTCGAATTTCTTCCATTACCATACGGGCTACCCCTCTACTCCCCCCAAAAGAAAAGATTAGGAAAGTACAAACAAAAAAAATTATATACTATAGTATTATCAAATCACAATCCGATCATGTACTGATTAAAAATAATTTTATCGTAATTCCAAAATTTTCTTCCAAACACATAAAAGATCATGCGGAAAAGAATAAGAAGGGTGGCGTAGGAGACAAATATGGAGGCCAAAAAGGTTCAAAAAAATTGCCTTAAAAACAGTGTTACTTTTGTTGGGACTAAAAATATTACCTTTTGGTCAGTATTCTTGTTTGATTTCATTCTACAACCAAGAAAATAACAAAAATAATCCTTTATGTTTTGAGTATAATTTAAGAAAAATGATATATTTTTAAAAACTCCCTTTTCAACCTTATTATCTGATTCAAGACTCGATTCTTGATCTCAATCAGTTACTCAGGGATCGACCATGACCCCAACCCTAAACTAGACTTTCGACCTCAATTTGAGATTCGGCTCCTAATTCTGATACAGCCTCAACTCAAACCCAAAGTCTGATCCTAATCCAGAATTAAACTCTCAATCTGAAACTCAACTCTCGACTCAGGACCTGACTTCTATCTGACCAAGATCCAATTCCTTACCCTGATTCTAGTTTAGTACCCGACTACCTGACTCCTGATCCCAACTCGAGCTCAAGGTCGGACCCTGGTTCAGAATATGGACTTCTATCTCAATTTAGGATCATTGGTCACAGTAGGTTCAAGTTAGTGTCGATTCCCAATCATGGCTAGAATCGATTGTAGAATCCCGAATTAAAGGTTACGTCGAGGATCAAGCTCTTAGGCAAGGTTAAGTTCAAGGTCGTGTCTCCAATCATAGCCAGGGTCAGAATTGTGTCCTTGGTATGAGGTCATTTGTGTAATAACAATAGAAAGTATATATAAATCACTTTTATAAGAAGGAATATATCAAATTCTAAATTGCAAAATTAAGGAATATATCCTTAAATTAAAATTGTTCACTACTTTTGGACTATTTTGAACTTACCTTGAAATAAAAAGGATTATTTTTGTAATATTGTAACCCGTGAGGCCGTGACCAGTTTAATAATTGAATAGTAGTACAAGTTCACTGTCTTTTCTAATGTTTCTACATTAATTAAAAATACAAACATTAAAGTTTCTGACACATCCCCGCTGTCAACTTGCTGGTCCACTTTATGTTTTCTCGAGTAAAATAAAATATATTTTAGTGTATGATAAAAAATATTTCGAACGGTAAGTACCAACTTGACGATATAATAGTGAGATATAATAGTGAGACTGTTTTTGATAGACGTTCGATAATTCAAGTATGTATGATTTTGAGTAGAAAGAAGAAAACAAAGGAATTGTACAGCAAAGCATAAGCATCCTGTTTCTTCATATTTCTCTCCAAATTAATAAAATAATATTCCCTTTTCACATGTACAACAATAACAAGCTCCTGTCCAACCCATGCCGTCCCACCAACTCAGCACACCGAGACCCCCGCTTTCCTTACGATTCTTGACACTCGATAACAAGGTGAACGTTCAAATAGTCAATTTATCCGAAATCCGCATATACAATGTCTAGCTGTTTCCCACATTTACACATTTTTTCTTAGCTGGCATAAGAATCTATCCAACCAAAACCACAACACGTGTCGTGATCTCATTCGCTCAAAACCCTTGACCTGTGATGGGACCTACTCAATTTTTCCGTCAAGGCATGCAAGACCTGCCACGTGGCATCACCCTCCACCGTCCGATCATGAAAAAGTAGGGCCCTTGAAATTCTTGGGTCCCACAACTTCTGTTGTATTGTGCTCAGATTGGTTGCTGCCACGTTCTCGAGAATCGTGCCAAGTTTTCCGACGTCTTTCTCCGCCACCGTGACGGAGATTTCCGACCACGGCACGGCGGAGGAAAACGGCAGATCAATGCCGTCGGCGATGATCACCGGCACGCAGCCTAAAACAACTGATTCAACTAATCTTGGACTCCACGGAGCCCATCCTAATGGACATAAACAAAACGTTGATCGTAAAATCTCCGATTGATAACCGATAAACCGATGACGTCTTAGGTAAAATCTCCGATCATTCCCATATTTTTTCAATATAACAGTACGGACTTTCCTGCAAAAAAAAAAACATAAGGGTTATTTTCGTCTTTTCATTAAAAATTCTCGAGAATTAAACAGTTTAATTTTAACAAAACTTACTTGCTGTAAAAACGTCCGCTGACATTTTTTGGGTGGACTTCCATTTTACCCCTAAAAAACGCAAAAATATCACGGCGGCCATTAACGTCCGACGTAGCTAGTGTTTTCCGTACACTTTCCGGTGAAATATACGGCGGAATTACTATATGCTCTGCTTTTTGACATGGGTGATCGTATTTAACACCAAATGTTTGTAATATAATCGATTTTCTCAAAAACTCCGGTACTCCATCTGCCATAGCAACATCTTCCTGCAATTAAAATCACATAGATATTCAAAACTCTATCGGGTTTGATTCAGAATTTGAAAAAAATATCAATCTTTTGAACTTACCAATGTGTGAAAACAAGACCCAAAATCATGAGAAGCAACGAAGATATGGTCAGAACCTGAACTTCGATTCCAAAAAGTAAATTCCGATGAAATAAGCTTAATAGCTGAAGAAATTAAAGAACGAGCATGTCCAATAGCAGGGAATCCATTAACAGTGCTGAAATTACACGATACGTAAACAGGGACGAAGAAAAAATCAGCTTCAAATGGATCAAATGTTCGAACATCGCTGTTTAACAGAGCTTTATGTATGGCTACTTCAGATGCAAATAAATGGTTACTACATCTTTCGTTTGATAACCAATCGCTATTGTATTTACTTGGCAAATCATAAACGTAAATCTTCAATCCATTCAACGAATCTGAAACTGAAAAAAACACAACAAAGATAAGATAAATGTAAGGTAAGCAATAACAAAAAAAAATTAATAAAATTAAAATCTTTACCTCGATGGTTTTGAGTTTCAGGGTATTCAATAAGAGCACGAGAAGCTTTAGAATATTGAGGAACGGTGGTTTTAGAAATGGTATTAGGTTTATGATTGAATAGAAACGAAGCGAAAAAATAAAAAGAAAGTGAAAACCAAAGAACCCATTTGAAATATCTGTAACAAAACAATCCTCTGTTTCTATTTCCGCCATTGTTGTGGTTTAAAAGCTTCATTCTTACATAAAAACCTCTGTTTTTGCTCTGTTTTTTGGGTTCTATCATCTTTAAGAACCCCCTTTAAAGAAGATGAAATGGGGTTTTCGTTCTTGGTGAAAAAAAAAACAGGGGATTGATGAATGATAAAGACTTGTGTTTGTTAAGAGTTCGTTTTAGCTTGAAGAATAAATTTAACACCTAATTTGTTGCTGATTCTTCAAGAAAATGCTAATTTTGTAATGGGGTTTGGTTGAGTTTTGTTTTCCCAATGTAAAAAAATAATAATCACGAAGGTCATGAAGTAGCAGAGATGAGAGAGAAAATGAGGAGAGAGAGAGAGAGAGAAAGGGTTACAGAAAGGTCACATTGTGTTGTAAATGGAGCAGAATGAATAGCGCCATTGTTCATGGTTTCGAAGGTGGATTTTAATATATTTTATAAAGTTTAATTATGAAAAAAAAACTAAAAAAATTGATGGTCTATCGGAAATAGTATTTCTACTTTATAAAGATAGAGATAAGATATGTGTATATAATAACTCGTGAATAATTAATATAATTTCGTGTGGAAGTGTAATTTTTACAAGTTGGAAACATTAAATATCATTAACGGATACATCACATTCGTTTTTAATTAGAGATACAAAGTATTTATATAACATAAAAAGAAACTTTTTTTTCAGATTTTACTCGTAGAACTTTATTGGGATACGTTGTTGTAATTGTTGTTACGCATCACATTCTTTTTAAACGTCACTTGTAAGACTATATTAGATATGTTGTTGTTGTTATTGTAGTTGAGTCTTGATTAAATTCAAACTTTTTCTAGTTGAGTCTTGATTAAATTCGAACTTTTTCTAGTGCAAAAATTAATACTAAATAATGAGTTAATACATTTTTTAATTTAACCTCAAATTTAAAGTAAATACTAAATATTGAGTGATACTAAATAAGAGAGTTATCTTTGATATGAAAAACAACTTATTCATTAACGTTAGATTTTCTAATACGAAAATAATTAACGCCTTATTTATAAGATGAAAGATTAAATACTTTGTTTAGTAGATAAGTATTGATAATTGAAGTTATTTATGATCTCATTAATTTTACCACTTTTATAAAGTTTGGAATTAATGCTAAATTCTTGATAAAATCCTATTTTAAATAGTTGGACGGTGAGATCTAGATTTATGTATGACATATGAGCTTTGATTTGATTTAATATTTTTAATTTAAATTATGTATTTATTTTATAAATTAATTATTAATCTCAAAATATAAATTCAAAAATTTCAAATTCGAATAATCTTTACTTTGAATGTTTCTACATTCTAATTTGGTCAAAATTGTCAACTTGTTTCCTCGTGCATTTTACATGTAATATAAAGTGTGTGAAAATGTTATGTAAACCTTTTTATTCAAAGTCTAAATTCAAGGGCTTTGAAAAATTATTCGTCATATTTTCTAAATTTTAGTCTAAAGTCTAGTTCTAAATTCGTCATATTTTCTAAAACAAACAAACAAAAAAAACTTCTAAAATGTGTTCAATTTATATCAACAATCAACGTGAATAATTCATTTTATTATAGATAAAAGTGATTTATTTGATTCAAGGGTGTGATATAGTCGTTAATGAAGTTGGTTGCTCGTATTCACATTTCAGAAACAAAAATATTATGTGATTTCTTTTAACTTGTTCTAAACGTTGATGAGTTATCTGGTATATATTGCTGATAAGAGGTAACTAATATTCAGTAAAATTAATCAAGATACACATAAACGGATAGTAACACCACAATTATATATATATTTTAAAAGCGATCTATTCAAACTATATGTGAAAAGTGTGTATGATGTTGTCAACCATTCAAGAAATTATTTTTTTAATTATGATTATATCTTCTTGATATATTATTATGTGACTAGCTTTGAAGTACTTACTTTTTGTTATACAAATAAATAAAATAACCATATAAAGTTTTTGAATATATTTTTTTCAACATCAAAGTTGAAACAAATGAGTACCAATTGATATATTTGTTACTTATTTTTTAAGGCAAGGAGTATTAAGTACTACTTACTTCACCTCATTTAAACATATTTATGTGGTTAGGTTTGAGATACTTAATTATTTTTCTTTATTCGATACAGATTGAAAATTTTAACTAATTTTAATTTGTATCGCCCAAGTCATATTAAAGAAGTGTTTTTCAATCGTAATTTATTTTTAAACTTAAAGATTCAAATTCAAAGTTTATTATTTAAAATAATACAATTTTATCAATCATACCACAACTCAAAGCTGAAGTACTTATAAAATCTAGCAATTTTCTTAAGTGTGTGAAAAAGGGGTACAGACTTATTTGCGAGACAAACAAGTCAGCTTTTTAAATAATTTTTTAATTTTATATTTAAAATATTGTACTTAAAAAAGTAGATATAATTCCATACCCAGAGACAGTGCATATGAGAAGAGAGGGCAGCTATCAACTATAGTTATGATGGAATCGTAAATATTCTTTCATTCTTAAAGTCTCAGATTTAAATTTTCCTAGATACGGAGTCTTATTCTTATTCAAAGGTCTCGAATTTAAGTCTCCTTAAGTATGGAATCACCTCTATTAGGAAGTATTTTATCCCCAATATGAGATTTATCATCGCAAATTTATTGCTTAACTTTTAATTTTTAGGAGTATTTGTTGTTGTCTTATAGGTTGTCCAGAATTAGTGGTATTTTTCATACTGCAAAAGTTATTTTTGATGAAGATATTTTTCGTCAAAAGAAGAAATATGACATTATTCATTTATTGAGACATTTTTCATATATTTTTAATTTTTAATTTTATATTACTTACTTTAATAAAAATTAGGATATTATTATTAGTCTCTCGTCAAAAATCTCTTCCATTTGTTAATATTAATTTATTATTTCAGAAAATACATATTTCATTCACTAATTAATTATTAAAAAATATTTTTCTTATAAGTTGCAACTTAAACGTTCTATATTTTCTATGGAGGCACTATTTAATGTAATATTATTATTTTTTTCATTGACTATCCATGATTAATAGCTATTAACCGTCTTTAATTTGTTTGATATTTACTCCCTTTTTGCATATGTTACTTTGTGGTTTAGTAACATAATTATCTCTTGATAAGTACTTACTCCTCTTTATTGGTATTTTTAATAATCTCATGAATTTTTATTATTGACATTAATATTGGTACTTCAATTGGAGCTTCCACGGCCATAAACAAATAAAGACATAATATTTTTCTATGTAACGTTTAGTCTTCGTCTTCATGAAGCTGCTCTTTCATGCTTATGAATATTCCGGTGTTCTCAAAGAACTTGAAAAGTGCAAAATTTGCAAGAACAATAGAGGCAACTAGGAAAAAATACGTATCAAGAGAGACATTTCTAACTCTAAATCCTAGCTTATGCCTTTATAAAAGGTATTATATTCCCTTAAAGAAGCATCTCGAATATTCTGCAAATTCTTGGAATAATAAAGATATCAAATCCAAATCATCCTACTTCGAGAAATACGCCACTAATGACCCTCAAATCATGGATAGATCTTATGAGAAAAAATTCAATGGAGGAACAGAATTATACCCGCACTATTGATTTATCAATAAAATAATTAGGTTTCTTCAAGTTTTGCTTGTGGTTAATTTATTTTTCATATGTTTAATATTTGTTGCAAACATCTTTAACACACCTCAAGCTATGAGTATAAGTTACAATTTCTATGACAAGAAATTAAGTTACCAACAATAAAATTATTTAAAAAACCAAAGAGGTTCAATTTATTTTTTTATAAAATTGAATTGCATCTTATCAAACATTAAATCATAGCAACACTTAGATCTCAAAAACATTACACTTCCAAATAACAAGAATTGCGTAATTCTCATTAGCATAATTATTATCACCTAATATTTAACAAATAAGCAACTGATTTTTTTTCTTTCTCATAACGTTTATTTGCTTTAGTTATGTGCATTTAAAATTATAAAGCAAACAACATGATATTACTGATGTAGAATTAAATACATAAATAATTTAGCTCTTAACCAGTTATCAAAGAACCGATAATTAAGGACAGAGGTGATGTTAAAGAAAATATTCGTATAGTTTTTTTCTTCTTCTTTTTTGCTTCAATTTTATTCCTTGTCACGATAATGTTCTACACAGCATCAATAAATTCTCTCTATATAAAGAACAACTTTAAGCTTAATTAAAAAAGTCCATCTTTGATTAATTAAAGTTTGAAGTGATAGTGGTATCAAGAATAATATAATTTAGGTACCTAAAAGTCGTAAAAGCATAAATAATCAAAGAAAAAGCTAATGTTTAAAATAAATCTTTTTTGCTTAAAAACTATGAGAATTCTAGAAAACGTATGTGTAACATAGTTTTAAATAATAAATAAAATATGTTCATTATCGAAAATCTTTAAGGTCAAATTCATGAATTTATCCTTAAACTTATCATTATATATATTTATATAAAAAATCATTCGATTAATCGGATCGATGAATACCGAACTTATAAAAACAAATTGAGAAAAGTTAGCTTCTCTATCTTATCCAAAAATTGAATGTTTGTAGTGGAAAATAATATGATCAATTATTTATTGGAACAAGTCATTCAAGGACGGTGAATTGTTCTGGATAATCATTATCCTTTAAAATTAATCAAATTACGTCTAATGGACTCAAATAAATGAATTGAAAATAGACAACGACAACTAATTGTCCATTTGTGTATAATTAAATTATCATCAACCAATTTATATACATGATGCCAAACAAATACAATAGATTAACAACTAAAATTAATATTTAATAGGTAATTTATCAATTATCAATCATCAATCCATCAATGCCAATAAGACCCTAAAATCATATACTTCTTCATTGATATGACTGCTTCATGTCGAAGATATCTCAATATCAATAAGAGGCTAGACGTAGACACTTTTTCATTAACGTGCCTATTTCATGTCGAGAGTATTTCAATACTAATTATAAGAGACAAACACCTCTTCAATGACTTGCTTACTTCATGCTTAGAGTATTTTTTGATGTTTCAAACATTTTTATTGACGTATCTGCTTCATGTTGTGACTGTTTTTGAAACTTTATTATCTATGCTTTCAAGATATTTTTTCGTTGATAATATGATCCCACGTTAATAAAAAAAATTTGTCTAATAAGTGAAATTCAACAATAATAAAATATAAATAACATCATTAAACATTTGTCTAATAATTAGAAAATAGATCATTTTTTTTAATTGACTAAAAAATTGAATATACGTGACGTAACTAAACTTCAAATTGGTAAATATATTATTGAGAATATTAGATATCTTAATGAAAGTCTCTTTCATGCATACACTTAGAGATTAAGGAAAACTAAAGTAGATTTGGTCCACAACCTTTTACATTTTATTAAATTAAATTTTATAACCTAAGATAAGTTACAATTTTTTTTTATAGCCCTTATCCAAACACGTCTTCCAATTCTGGTTTAAATATCAAAAGTAGTGCTTGCTGTTAACTAATTTTAATTAAATATACATGACCACAGTAATAACCTATGGTAGTATATTAAATTAATTAATTATGGTATAAAATTTTGTACTTTTAAATAACAGTTTGTTATAACATGGCTCTTATCTTTGAAGAATTTTGGTTATTACATTTATAGCAACATATCTACAAGAAGATGATGCGTATACAACTTTATTCCTACAGTGAATCTTTTAGAGAGATTATTTTCGATAGATCTCGACTCAAGTAAACTGTATCATAATCAAATATGGAAAATAACAATAGATTATAAAAACTAGAACGATTACCGACTAACCTTTTGTCATAATCCTCGATTTTTGTTATTAAACTATCCATAACATCTTTTACAACTTTGAAGTTATTATAATAATAAAAATATGGATTGTTTTAGCAAGTTTCCGACCTTAGCTCAGTTGGTAGAGCGGAGGACTGTAGTTGTTGCTGTTATCCTTAGGTCGCTGGTTCGAATCCGGCAGGTCGGATTAATTTTTCCTTTTTTATTATTTTATTTTTTAAAATTGAAGCTTGTGAATTCTTAATGTTAATTTATTAATTCAAAAATCAAATCTTCTTTAATTTTATTTTAGTTTAGTTTATTTAGGGAAAAAAATCACTTAACTATATTTATCAAGTTTATAATTTTGATTCACATTCACTATCTTATTTTGAGGCAAACGTGGAGGTTGTAACAACTCCACTTTCACAATAGAAACATTCAAATATTATAATCACTAAACTCGAAGTTATAACGAAAAAATGGAACTAACAAAGAAAACTATTGTAGAAGATAACTAGAAGGGAGATGAGAAACATAGACTCAAAGAAAGGGGATGAGAGGACTAGACATTTTTCTCAACAATTTGCATAACCCTTGAATCACTGACCGCTACCCCTTTTGATGGAACCGTTCCCACACCCACTACTCGACTCGGATTCCAAATTTGCCTAGCCCAATTGCTTGTTCTCGACCCAATAGGTCTTGCCAGCCCAACAACTATTTGTGTGATCTTGGTATTCATATTGGGTTGGACTTGGTTCATAACAGAGGTGAAAGTTGATACACAAGATATATCCTAGGAGATGGAGAAATTTGATTGATGTCACACATTGTAATGAGGTGAAGATTGATATACAAGATATATATACACAATTTTTTTGAAAAACTCATCTATAACAATAAATTTTCATTTTATTCAAAGCTAAAAGGTATCTATCTATCTATCAACAATAGTAATAACAAAGATAGATGATCGTATGGAAACAAATTGATGGAAGAACAAAAGGGAAGTTACAAGTAGAAGTAGTCCGGGACTCCGGGTGGATATTAACATAAGATGAAGGAATTTTTTTCAAAATTCAAAAAAGATGTCTAGAGAAAATGAAATTACTACTATATTCTTTGTTGATCGAACACTTCACAAAATATAGTACTACATTTTTGAAGGATCCGACATGAGTGGGGTAGCATTTTTTGTCCAAACATTTTATTAATCATTATCATTAACTATAACATTTTATCTAGGAAAAATTATAGAAATCTCATCTTTTAGTTTACTTAGTACCATTATCCCCTATAAGTTTTACAAATCTCTAAAATCCCTCATTTTCGCACATCAGATTAGTGTATCTCGCGCATCAGATTAGTGTATCATGTATAAAATGTACATCAAATTAGTGTATCATGTATAAAATGTAATGTATCTTAACGATTAATGTATCTCGCCCATCAAATTAATGTATCAACGCTTATATTATTGTATCTGTTTGAGAGATTTCTGTAATTATAAACTTTTAAGAGATAAATTGTAATTTTACCTTAAAAGTATGTGATTTCTGTAATTTGCCCTTTTATCTATTCGTCATTATCTTCCCCCTTATCTCACAACTACATTTTACAAATAATAACCTTTGGAAACTCTACCACCTTTCCAATGCTATTTTTTCATTGTTCATGTAATTTTTTATCAAATAAAGTAGAAAGTATGTATCAGAAAAAGAACAAGGCCATTTAACTTTTCAATATCAACATTAATACATACTGCAACACAACCAAATTAAATTAGGCCCAAATTCCAATCAGAAATCCCAAATTAGGCCCACAGTAACTCGTCTCTCAACTCTCATCTCTCATCTCTCATCTCTCAGTCGTCTCAGTTACGCTGCAGCTCGTCCGTCGTCTCTTAATTCTCAGGCCAGCCGCTGCTCAGTCCTCGCAGATCGCAGTCGCAACCGCAAGCCGCTTGGCCACTGTTCAGTGCGGTAAGATTCCGACGGTGGCCCTCTAGATCGACGGTGAGGTTTCGCCATTCCGGTAAGGTTCCGACGACTTTCAATTCCCTTTACGTACTATTATTATCTGTATCTGTTTTTGTAATTTGATTGGAATTAGGTTTGTTGTAATTCATAGGGTAAAGTTTAAATTGAGTGAAGAATTTTTGGGGGAAAAAATGGATAAGGAGAAAGTGGAGCAATTGAAGATTCTAACGCAGCAATGGTTAAATGAAGCTGAAGAATTCATCAATCATATACCTCCTGTTCAACTGTATACTGCTGTTGGAGTTGTATTATCCACTCTCATTTTGTTGTTAATCAGTAAGCTCTTAAAACTTACTTCCCTTAGGGTTAGAGATTTCATTTGCTTTCTCAATTCTCATGGGTTTGTGTCGAATTTGTTTGAATTTTCGCATTTCTGAATGTGTTGCTAATCCGGGATGGCACGGAGGGACTTACAGTTAGGATTTTCTTTTTCTTCTTTTCTCCCCATTAATGCCACACATTTTTGTAATTTCTATATCACCCTTTTGTCACTATGATGATCCTCAGTGAATGATTTCATGTATTAAGTTTTAGATTGTTTTTTTATTCTCTTTGGAGGCTGAAATTTGAAGAATTTCCTTTTGTCTACCTCTTTGCCTGCAGTTCGCTTGTTCAAGCGTACAACATCTAACACCATTGTACTCACTGGGCTTAGTGGAAGCGGCAAAACATATCTTTTTTACCAGGTAACTCTTTGACATGCGACCTGTATAATCTTTTCAAAGTTTGATTGTACTGATCTTGATGTGCTGGCATATACCAGCTTAGAGATGGTTCAGCCCATCAGGGTACCGTGACGTCAATGGAACCAAATGAAGGCAGTTTTATACTACACTCTGAGGAAGACAAGGTAATGAACATTGTCTTCTCTTGTTCCCCTTTTCTGCCCTACCATTTTGCATGCATCCTTGTGATCTATACCTTTAGAAGGGAAAGATAGATCTTATTAATTGCTGATGGACTATCAGTTTCTTCTTTGGTAATCGATTTACTGAATTCCTTTATCTGGGAATGGAATTTCACATTACATGCGACTTGTTTTGGTTTTTTCTGCAGAAAGGAAAATTGAAGCCTGTTCACATTGTTGATGTCCCTGGGCACTCTCGTCTAAGGCCAAAACTAGATGAGTTCCTGCCTCAAGCAGCTGGCGTTGTGTTTGTGGTGGATTCTGTGGAATTTTTACCAAACTGCCGTCCTGCTTCAGAGTACTGATAATTTGTTGTTGCTTATACTTTACATTGGCAGTTGTTAATTCGCATTGGATATCTGACAACTGAATTTCACATCGTATAATCCCTCTTGCATGAAGGTACTTGTATGAGATCTTAACAAAGGCAAGTGTGGTCAAGAAAAAAGTTCCAGTACTCCTCCTTTGCAACAAGGTTGACAAAGTAACTGCACATACAGCAGAATTCATCAGAAAACAGCTGGAGAAAGAAATGTAAGAGTACACTATGCATGCATTTATTTTGGAGCAAACACCAATTTGCCTTTTGTATACATACATATATATTATGCGTGTGCAAACATAACTGTGATCCGAACACATAAAAAGGCAGAACTGCTTTCTGAATAGTTGAAATTTACCTCTCCATGGTGGAATACTGTGTTGCATGCTTTATTCTCCTTTTGGTAATGAACAACAACACCCTTTATAAATTGTTGGTAATATCATTAATTCAGCAACAAGCTCACGCCTAGAGAACCTTCCCAAACATGAAATCTTGTTTCATGCTTTATTTGCTAATGTACTTGGAGGCTCATTGAATCATAACCACTGCAAAAACTTAAAAACTGAAGTGTTATCACTTGTGTTCTGCTTTATAACTAGTTTGCTTTCTTATTGATCCAGCGACAAGCTTCGTACATCAAGAACTGCCGTATCTGATGCAGATATCTCTAATGAATATACGCTTGGTGTGCCTGGAGAACCATTTACTTTTTCTCAATGCCATAACAGAGTAGTTGTTGCTGAAGCTTCTGGTCTGACCGGTGAAATTTCTCAGCTGGAGAAGTTCATTAGGGAGAATGTGAAACCTTGATTATGGTATTTCAAGCAAACAGGGACCCCTTTTTATTTCTTTTCTTCTCTTTTATTTTTGGTCCGAAAAACTGAAAATACTATCAGAAAGACGGAGAAAAAACATGCAACTTGGAAAACATATTCAAAGTAGGGATAGGAATTTGAAGAGTTTTCTTTATGTTCTATTGGCAATCCCCACCTAAACATTATGTTTGTTATGACATTATCTTTATAAAAAAAAATAAAAAAAAATAATGTTTGTTATGCCTAGAATATCTTGTCATTGGATTTGATTACTTCCCTTTATTTTTGTGCTGGCTGCTTTTCATGGCAAAGGACTTTCCTGTGCATATTTTCCCCCCTCCATGTGTTGCTAGCCACATTGAAGAGGTTCTTTCTGATTTCGAACTACACTTTTTTTTATAAAAAAAATCAAGAAATGCTCTAACAATATTGGCATACGGTTCAAAACTCGGTGGATAATGAGTTTCATAGAGTGCATCACTTCTGCCAAGATTTGCATGCTTCATCGTTATATTGATGAGTGATTTGTGAAAGACAATGTTTGTTGACAATTGAACACTTCTCTCATTGTTATTGTTGTAGGATTCTTTGTTTGTTTCTATTGGGTACTTATTTATCTCTGTAGTGAACAACAATATTTAGTGTTGTATTCTATATTTTCCACTTGGTATTCAATACTTGTTTTAGGGTCTCAGCTATTCGAATCGTGCACTGTAATTCCTATTAAAGAGAGAAACAACTCCCCATCAAAATTTCATTCATTTTCAAGGCTTGAAAATGTGTCTACTTATATAAATAAATTTAAGTGCTTACTTGTGCATGTTATATTTTATGCCTTTTTAATATTTGATAAAAGCCCAAAAGTGGCTTCCAAAACTTAAATATATCTACAATTCCAGAATATTTTCTCCTTGAAATTAACTTTATTGGTTAGAAAAACAAGAGCTGAGAATAGTAGACGATATGAAGGAAGTTACACAAGGAGATTCAAGTACAAAACAACAATTACGTACGAGGTTTGGAGAGGGTGGTGTATATGCAACGTTAATCATACTTGTGAGGTTGTTTTCAATAAACCCTCGTAGAACATATCAAACATGAAAAGGAGATTAAAAAATGTGGGAATAAAATCTTTTTCCATTTCTTCCAAGTCTGTTGATGATGCTGAAGCAGATTTCAGTTCAAAGAGTAATTATACAAGGGAGTAAGACAGCAACAACAACATCAACATTTCAAAGCAGACTCAAATAACTGGTTCTGCAAGTAAAGGAAGAGAGGAGCAATTGCCATTTTCTTTCTAGTTTCGTTTGGTTTCGAGGATATAAAAGGGAAAAAAATTATATATATACATGATGATATCGAACCCGGGATGAGGGTAAAACTTATAAATAGAATAGCTTGTGCTGCTCAGCTCATTTATCTGAGCAACACTAAGAATTTAAAAGAAAAAAAAAGACATTTGGTTTAAGAATTTCTGGTGTATAATAATGTTTTTTTGACTTGTTTAATGGTATTTGAACTCATTGTTTGTCTCCAGATAGCTTTCTAATAATCCATTTGAACAATCTTGCTAACCAATACTTCAATGCTATCACCAAGGCAAACATACCATAGCAAGGGAGATGAACCACACCAACCATCAAGTACCTACAATTACACATTTGGCAAAGAGCATGAAGCATAATGATAAGTGTATGAATAACTCTAGAGATATACTAAGGCCTCGTTTATTTGCACTTAATGAAAGGTTTTAATCTTATTAATCATACGGATCTCAGTCATTAAGTCCATTTGTGTTTTAGGTCTGAATCATAATCATTCAGATATTTAACCATTACAACCACTTAATGTGTGTTGAATAGATCTATAACAAAGTTTTTGTACATTCAAGGATTTTTACAAAAATGACAGTTCACCAATTCTATTCATTCACCACAATCGCTGTCGCCGCCTACCATTAGCAACTACTAACTGTCCACCACCCACAACTACCGTTACTGTCAATCATTACAATCGGTCATCACCACTACTAGTCACCATTCACAATCATCACCACCAACTACCATTACCACAACAACCATCAATCACTACCGACAATCAACATCATCAGTCATCATTATATATCTCCAACCACAACAATTAGCAATTACTAATTCCATAGGGTAGCTGCAACCTCCCACCAACACAGTTACCGGGCTGCCTACCAAGGTTTGGACAAATGGGAGGAAATCATCTAGTGGTTTTGCCCCACTTCATTGACCACCAGGCTACACCCTTGGGTGCGTACTCATTTCTATGCACCAACAATGGCTATTTTTGCAATAACTAAAAGCATAAGAATCTGGACATCTAACTAGTTGATAGAAGACATTTCAGTAGATGTAAATTTTGTATATACAAGAACAATTGGACACGTACACTAAGGGAGCGTATTTGTATGAAATATCCAGGAAGGGATAAGGCCACCTGTTGCAACAAGAGTTAACTCTTATTAGTAACAGCATAAGCCTATATGATTCTTACTTTCTGAAAAAACGATGACGAAAAGCATGGCATAAGCAAACATACCACTTTGAGACACACATATGGACGAGCCACTGGAATGAGACAAATGTGCATGTATAAAGAACAAAATATGCAAATCTGAAGAAAGGGAACCGCTGGAAGGAAGCAAGAAAATATGTTAGCCACAGTTTGGGCATGGGATACGTTTATAGCTTAAGCCAGTTGTGAATGCAAACTTACTAGAGAATTCAGAATCACATCGCCAAGCAGGGTAATAGCATTGATAGAATGCATACCAATAACTAGCTGCATAGATCGGAAGAAAATCAACTTGTGATTAAAACATGTTAAACATCATTTAAACTATGTGCAAAGCAGAAATAAATACTAATCATGGTCTCTACACGTACGTGCGGATGTCACTGCTCAACTGTTCACTAGATTAGAGAAGCCTTTCCATGTCGACAAGTTACACAATTAATGATGAAGGAATCCAGGTAAAATTGTTCTTTTCAATCATCGTGTGCAGTGGAAGTATCGATACAAGAACAGTCCAGTGAATTTTTCATGTAAATTATAGATCTGGTAGATTATACATCTTTTGCCTTAATTTCAGGACTGCGGCACAGTTAATAGTAGCGAATGCATAGGTAAGCACTGGTGAAGTTGAAGTACTGCCATCTTCTAAGAGAATTTAGCCGTATTACAACCGTGAACTTTCTGCTGTTCAAGTTTTCAGTATCCGTGCATATTGAAATATGTCAGAAACTAAAGCAAAGGCGAGGAGGGTGAGAACAACCACACAATCAAGAAAGGAAAAGTGATACTTGATTGTAAAAGAAATTGCCAAATTTTAAACCAGAGGTGAGTCGTTAATGACCCCAAAATTGAAACAGTTGAGTAGCAAAGCATAACTGAACAACACTCTGGACTTAGCACTACAGTGCATGACCAGGCTATATTGCATAATAAATATTCCCTCCGTTTCAATTTGTTTGTCTGATTTTGACTTGGCATGGAGTTTAAGAAAGTAAAGAAGACTTTTGAATCTTGTGGTCTTAAACTAAACTAAAGATATGTACAATGTACCAAAATACCTTTTAATCTTGTGGTCTTAAACATGACATGTGGAAAGTTGGAATCAAAGAGTTGCCAAAAAAGGAAAGAGACATTCTTTTTTAAATAGACAAAAGAGAAGTAAGATAAACAAATTATAACAGAGGGAGTACACAGAAGCCACAAATTGAAGCAAAATGTAAAAGGGAAATAGAATCAAGCCAGTTGACTATAATGAAATAAGACTCAACTAAGGAAACTACAGTTCTTAAAACTTACAAATTGCAATCCGGAACCACTGGGCAAGAAAAACGGGTAGATAAGAAGCCAATAAACGCAATCCGTAAGCACCACGGCACCAGCACAGACCTAAAAGTTTTGAACACAATCAAAATAAAAGGAAATCAGCCAAGTTAATGTCCTTGAACCTCTTTGAAGGGCGCAGCTTCCCTTCCAGATAGCAACTTAAACTAGTAAAAAGAGGATCATAACGAGACATGAGAAGTGATGTAAAAACGACTCATAAAACCGGATCAACCAGTAACAAATACAAAGTTGCATTTCTACTAGAGGCCTAACACATGTTAATATAGTTAATTAGATTGAAAAATATTAAATTCAATATCTATAACAAATGAGGAAATGGCCATAATAGGTTACATATGCCATAAATGAGTATAAGGAAAGAAAGAAATGAAAAATAAAACTAAATATTCTGTTTTACTCCATAATCAGAAAAATATAAAAATAAATGCGAGGTGAATCTTGAGAGAACATGCCTGAAAAATTATCTGAAAGACATAGCCCAAATAACCTGCCGGTTCTCTAACATCAGTTTCCTCAATGGAACTCAAATCCTTGGATACGCCAGGTAAACTTGCATTCTTCTCAAGAGTTGGAGAATCGTTTCTCTCTTCATCAATACAACAAACTTTTGCACCAGTAACACCCTTTCGATATTGGATACAGCCATAGATGGAGAGTGAAGACCCTAGCTACAGAATTTCGTTGAGAACATAACCAAGTTAAAGAAACAAGGGAAATTTGAACTAAATACGCAAGGAGTAGAGATGATAATGTTGTAATGAGAGAATATTCCCAGAGCTATTTAGCATGGGGGATAGTTACTATGCTTTGGATGAGGAAAAAACATTTTCATTTTGTATATGTATCTATATGAAAAATAACAAATAGAGGGCAGATCTCAAGACATTCACATCCTCCAGATCATATGTCGAAATGAATGGTAAACATGGTTTAATTGCAGAGTAACATACCCCAAAATAGATAGTGACCAAAGAGAATGTCCACCTGTCCAGCACAAAAAGAATAATCAAAAGCAAAATATAAGACTAAGTATCATGCTATGAGCAAGTAAAATCGTATATGAACGTGTAAAACTGAAATTCATTAAACACAATTCTCTTAAATTTTGAAAGCTTCAAGAGATAATTAGGCTTCTAGTATAGCTCTATCAATATCAAGGGGAAACTTGATCGATAAGACATCCCTTAGAAGCTAAGGATTTTAACTAATCATGAATGAGCATCAAATAATAAAAGACAACTAAAAAGATAGCAATGGCATGACCATTGAAGTGGACATTTCCAGCACACATTTATTC